TGACATCCATGGCAGAGGCTCATAAGCCGTGACCTAAGGCAAACTGGAAAGCGAGTGGAGATGAAGTGTGAGGACTTTTCTCATGCCCTCACAGTACCCTTGTGTTACGGTAAAAAGTGCACACATACACACCCCTGGTGGCATCTTCCATGTAATGCAGTGAACTCATTATTGAGGCTCTTAAATTCTGTTTGCAGGTAAAACGAAGTGCTTTAAGTGTGGATATTCAAGGGTTTCTGAGATGACAGACATTGCCGTTCCAACAAGTTAGTTTTCTTTGCAAAACTAAACAAGTCTGCATAAGGGCAAATTCATGGTTACGGTGCCACTTACCGAATGTCTGAGAAATTCTTATTTCCTGTTTAGACAAGCCATGAGAAAGGTAATGGAGAAACAGGTCTGTGTGGCCTGGAGAAAGCTGCTGCCAAGCAAGGCCAGGGTAGGGGGCAGGCTCTTAATCTCAGGTGATAAATGGTTATACACCTCACCGGCTGCTGGCTCTTCACAGGTCACCCCTGCAGTAGAACCCAGGACATTTCTGTCATTTCCCATCCATTCCAATGTTCTTTATCTAGGAGGAGGAGGAAGAGGCTAAGGTTGCCACCCCCATCACATCTGGCAAGCTGTTAGAACACTGTGTTAGAGCTTAAGACACTGTTCCTTCTGATTGAACCCCAAAGCAACCATCATGGTAGTACTGTTGTCCCCTGGAGGCATGTTTGTGTCCTTACCCTTGGTCCCGGGATTGTGGCCAGTTCTTATCATCCTTGACTCTTCTTTCCCACTCTACAGGCCATGCCACCCTGCTCTGCTAAGCAGTAAGGACTGTAAGTCACTTTATCTTATTTCTGATATTAACCAAAATGATTTTAAAGTGAAAATGAGCAGGTCATGGTAGCATGTGGGTGGCATAGGCAAGAGGATCAGGAGTTAGTACAAGGCTAGCCTGGGCTACACAAGACCCTATCTCAAACTACAAGGTAAAATAGAAGTTTGGAATTAGACAGGAAACATGAGGTTCATTTTTGTTTTAATTCTGTGTGTGGATGTGTGCAAGTTAGTGCACTTGCTGGGTGAGGACAGGTGCTAGACCCCCTGGAGCTGGAGTCACAGGCAGTTGCGAGCTGCCTGATGTGGGTGCTGGAGTCAAACTCAGGTCCTCTACAAGAGCAGTAGCCACTCCTAACCTCTGAGACATCTCTCCAGCTTATTTTTGATAAACACATTTTCTCTCTCTCTCTCTCTCTCTCTCTCTCTTTCTCTCTCCCCCCTCTCTCTTTTTTAAGATTTATCACATGCATAGTATTATTCATGCAGGGATCCCTGCCGGCCAGAAGAGAGTACCAGACCTCATTAGAGATGGTTGTGAGCCACCACATGTTTGCTGGGAGTTGAACTCAGGACCTCTGGAAGAGCAGCCAGTGCTCTTAACCACAGAGTCATGTTATCTTAACAGCCCTGATAAATACCTTAAAAAACAAAAAACAACAAAAAATAAAACAAAACAAAAAAATCCCGGTGTTGGTACACAGTCAGAAGAATGGTGAACGGTGCCTTGAGGAACTGTGAGAGAACCCCGGCGTAAAAGGCAGAAGGCCTTTTACCTCAGGTGCATTCTGGTCCCTGGATTATTCCTGAATGTGATTTCCTGCCTCCTGCGTTAAACATTTGCATTCAGTTTATAAGCCCTGTTTATTCTTGTTGGATGTGAGGACACAGCTATAGAACCCAGTCTGGATGTGGCCTTCTGCCTTGCTTCCATGCTTCCCCAGATGTGATCTATAGCACGTGCCAGGCTACTGTGTTTCAGTTGGTCTGTCCTGAGAGAGTTCTGGGAAAGGGCTGCTCTGTTAATATCTAGCATGCGCTTCCTGACGTCTATGTGCATGTTTTTCTGGACTTGCACAGCCTTCCTTGGATCGCTGCTTTCTTCGTTGCGTTTGTGTGTAAAGTACACTGGTCCTGAAGGGAGGCTGTCTCCAGCGCTCCACCGCCATCTTCCCTTTTGAGGGCCTCAGATCCCAGGTCTAGCAGGCAAGATCTGAACAGGTCAGGTCGGTGAAAGTCGACACCAGGTGTGGTGGTTTGAAGCCCTCCCCTAGGTTTGGGCCTTTGAGCACTTGGGCTCCAGGTGATAGCTTTGTTGGATGAGTCATAGGGGTGTGGTGGTTTGAATGAGAATGACCCCCAAAGGCTCACATTTGCATTCTTGGTTCCCAGTTGGAACTGCTGGAAAGAATTATGAGCTCACATTAGAGGTGCTTCAAAAGACTCAAGCCATTCCCAGGTGGTTCTCTCTGCTTCTTGCTCATGCATCAGGACATGGAAGGTCTCAGCTACCGCTCCAGCATGCCTGCTGCCCTGCTCCCCACCGTGATGACCACAGACTCCAACCCTCTGGAGCACTCTGAGCCTGAGTGAGAAAACACATTTGCTACATCCTGACCCAACCTCAGACTAAAACTAGGACCAGCCTGGCCCTCAGGTATTCCTAACGCTCTCTGGGACCTGTGATTCACCTGTTGTTGCTCTGCTTCTGTGACTGCAAGGCTTCCTGCTCCCCTCTGGATCAGACAGAAGCATCGCGATGACACGGCTGTGCCCTATTCTTATTAAAAGTTCATGCTTGCTAGCTGCCACACCAACGAAATGTACCAAACCTGTGGTTTTGACCTTTCTATACCTCCTGTTCGAGGTCATCTTGTAGTCACAGGAGTGAGTGCTCCTGGCAGGTCTGGATGGCTCAATAAAAACTTCAAATTCACAAAGAGTTCATCTGGTCTCCTTCTCTTGGGTGAGAACAGCCTGGCCACAACAGACCCCAGATTAAATGCTTTCTCTTATAAGCTGCCTTGGCCATGGTGTCTTGTCGTGGCAATAGAAAGCCACTAGTACACTGGGAAGAGAAGAAATCTCTTTTATTGTGTTTTTAAAGACAAACAAACAAACAGAAAAAAGAAAACCCCACAAACTACAAAGCTGGGCTATCACTCAGGAAAGCGCTGACCCCTGGGAAGCGGGTGGGTCACCAGGGTCCAGAGCAATGTCCATGAAGGAGAGCCTGGGCTGCCCTCCTCAGGCTGGACAGCTACGTGACTAGAAACAAGAGTCAAGGTGTCTGCTTCAGAAGTCCACAGAAGACCATGGTTCTTCGTGCAGCCCCTGGAGGTGAGGTGTCCCTGGGGTTTCCCCAGTTTCTGTCCCTGCCTCTCTGTATTTCTCTTTATATCATCTCAGGGGTCATATTCCCCTCCTACACCAGTCGTGGTATGTGGCTGCTTTGTATGGTCTTAACGGATTACATATGAAATGACCCTACTTACCCATAAGCTGACAGGCTATGAGGTATTAGGGTAGGATTTTAATGACTTGGGAACCCAAATCAGTCCCCAGTTGGCAGCCAAACTGCAGGTCTGCCTCGTTGCCTTTGGTGATACTGTGTGGAAGACGTCTCTATTTTCCTATCCTCCTCCCACCGGCCCGGCTTCCATGTGCTTAGATCCTGCCTGGCCAGTGGTACACAGCAGGACCATTACACATTTCAGCCAGGTGGCCCTGAGACAGCTCCAAAAACCATCTCCAGGAGGGGGTCCTTCCCTTGGATCCCTGCCCCAAAGGCATCTGATGGAATCACCTGTGTGACATCATTGGATCCTGGGGAAGAGCAAACGGAAAGCTAGCCACCTCACTGCAGGAGGGCTTGGGTGAGGGAAGGGTCGAGGTCTTCATGTCACGCCACACTCACACTCCTGGCCGGCTTCCTGCTGTGAGAGAGGACCCTCTGGATCAGCTCCTTCCAACAGGCTAGAGAAGGTACTGACCATCACCACCAGTAGGGGGCGCAAGAAGCCACCGTATTTCTGATTCGGCTCACTCGGGCTAATGTGCTGGTGGCTTTCACACAGGGCTGCACGTTGATAGCATCTGCACCTGAGGGCGTGGGGTCTTTACAAAAATACCACTGTCTGTGGAAAGACTTAAAGAGTCGCCTCACCAGAGAAGACAGACAAACCTCTGAGCCATCCCTCCAACCCTGGCCATCCCATTTTTAAACTCAAGACTTGGTGCAGCGGCCAGTGACTTTTGGAGAATTAAACTCTGGTCATACATAGCTCCTAAATTATGTGAGGTTCATGTTGACATCCATATCAGCAGTTTGAAGTATGGATTATTAGAAGTGAGCATTAAAACTTGGTTCTTACAGGGTTTGGATAGCAGTCAAGTCAATAACTGGTTCAGTCCAGGCCAGAAGCAGTCAGACTGCAGACCCCTCCCTGGATGTCACATCTGTGCAGAACCTCGAGGGAGGCTTCCTGGATCTGTTTACTTATGAACAAAATAGGTGGTCAGGTTGGGGTGTAGCTCAGTGGTAGAGCGTTTGCTTAGCATGCATGGGGGCCTGAAGCCTGGCGAGTACCTCTGTTTCCAACATCCAGATATTTCAGAGCTGCCCCGCAGAGGAATCCCCAGCATCAAGGAGGAAGCCACAGCTGAAGTTTTGGTGGCATGGTGGCTTTCTTCAGAGACAGCAGACTGAGAGTTGCCGTAGGCTCTTCCTGGCCCTGTGAATGACCGTGTTTATTCCCCCAGCTGCTGAGGTCACAGTCTAAAATTGTAGCAAACACTTGGGAGATAAAAACACATTTATTTCTCTTGTATAACCTAAAAGTGTCTGTATCTTTAAGCCTTGGGAGTAAATTACAAAATGAGATGCAAAAATCCGGCCCCTTTTCCCTTAGATATGGTGGCCATGGTATTCCCCTGGCAGAGAACCTCATGTTGCACCCAGGGAGCCTGCAACCCTTGGCTGGCTTCATCCCATGTGTGACAGTTCAGCTTGGGTGTCTGCCTGGCCCTGTTCTGGCCACAGGGCAGGGACTAGCAGAGATCAATAGTGCCCTAACTATTAACATAGCTGCCTGTAACAAATTCAAACATCGCGAGACTGGAGAAACGACTCACTTGTTAAGAGCTCTGCTGTCTTGCAGGGGACCCAGGTTCAAATTCCAGCACACACATAGTGGCTCACAACCATCTGTAACTCCAGTTCCAGGGGATCCAAAGCTGTCTTCTGCTCTCCATGGGCACCAGGCAGACATAGATGCAGTCAAAATATCTCTATACGTTAATAGTTATACACACACAACAAACCCCAGTGTTGTGAGGTGAGCCGAACTACGCCCCTTTGGTTCATTTTCCTGTGGATGACTGTTATTGCCCCGTCTGTATTCACAGACCGTAGTTTTCAGTGCACATCCAAACATATGCCACATAGCGTTAAGAAAAGAATACGCTGAATGACTGCTGGATAGCGTGGGTAAATACAAAAGATTTAAAAGTTCTCCTGTAAGAGAAGGAAGTCAATGTGCAGTCTCTGCGTGCTGTGATTTCTCCAATACAACATTCAGGAAGAATCAGAGCGATGACTGCTGGCGAGGGCGGGCTGAACGCACAGCGCATGTGCAGCCTTAGAACCATCGCGCTTTCCGCATCACAGCGCATGTGCAGCCTTAGAACCATCGCGCTTTCCGCATGGGTCTGCGATGCACTAGATGGTTACGCTTGGCAGTCAGACTGACTGGATGGATGGAGAGATTCTCAGGTGACTGTGAGCCTGCGAGGATGACTCCGAGGCCAACCAGATCACCGGGGCTCTGACCTAGTCAATGGCTCAGTCTACTGATGGATTCAATATTCAAACAGGCTGTTGGGAAATGATGGAGCTTTGGGTGGTGGGGCCTCTGTGGACACTGGGGTGTGTCTGAAGGGTGGTTTTCAGCCATAGAACCCTTTTTCATCTCGTCAGCTTTATGAGGCGACTGCTGCCCTCTACAGCGCCCTTCCTCTGAGATGCTAGTGCCTTGCCATGGACTTCCAGCAACAGAGCCACGAGGCCACAGACTGAAACCACAAGCTCAGATAGCTTTTCCTTCTTTCAGTTGTCTGTGTCAGGTGTTCTGCCAGCGATGAGAACTCAGCTAACACACGCGGCCTTTCGCCACGCATTTGTGCAGACCCACAGAATGTACAGATGAGCCCTCCCATAAGCCAGGCTTCAGTTAGTGGTACTGTATCAGCAGTTCACAATGGCGGTGAGGGTGTCACACTGAAGGAGACATTACTTTACCAGCTTTTCGTCACGTGACAGAGGACCTAGGAAGCCTAAGGAGGAAGGACTTGTTTTGGCTCAGCCTCACCACGGTCAGTTGGCCTTTTACTGTGGTCTGTGCAGGGTGGCACAGCGTGGTGGAAGACCAGGGCAGAGCTGCTCAGCTCATGGGAAGGGGAAGGGACCTGACAAGGTGTAGCCTTTTAGTTACCTACAGATCTATTTCCTTCCACTAGGCCCTGCCTCCCAATACTGCCAGGGTGTTAAGTCCGCCAAGGGATCTGCCCACTGATTAGTTCAGAGCCCTGTGAATGCAAAAACACACTCTCACCACTAAGGGAGCAAGATAGCTTACTCGAGCCAAATGTGAGTGATGGTGGCCCAGGAACACAGATGTAGGTTGCTGGAACTGTAAGACATTTTATTAGTTACAAAGGAAGTCACAAATCCAAGCATTGGGCACCACAGGGGGTGGGGACCACAAGGTATAGGGACCAGAGGGGTTGGGAAAACACAGGGCGTGGGGTAGGGGTATTACAGCAAGGAGAGGAAAATCTCCCGTCCACTAAGGCCTCCGGCACCATTTGATAGCATGCTGAGACTACATTTTAAAAGTTTTGGAAGTCACAAGGCTGTTAGGTCAGACACAGGAGTGGCTTTCAAAGGGACTAAAATAGTCCAAGATAATCTGGCTCTGGCTCTGGTCTGCAACATTTTAACTCTCCGTGAGCAAGCGGCTCAGTCATTTGTCCTTGGCCTGACAGGGGTGCCACTTTTTTTTTTTCCCTGGGAACTTCAGTTCCCAGTTTACCCAGGATCCAGTCACCTCCCAATGGTGTGTTATCGGGGCACATTCTTGGTCTTGCTGATAAAGGAAGTCTAGAAACAGACGCAGAAGGGAAGACAAGGACAAATGCTGGAGTCAGGAACGGACAGTTCTGAGAATCAGCAGGTGCCAGAGGGAGGAGATAGAAGGACGGACAGTTCTGAGAATCAGCAGGTGCCAGAGGGAGGAGATAGAAGGACGGACAGACAGAGAAAGCTGCATTTTGGATAGAGAACAAGTGAAAAGACAACCACGCTTTTGCACGTCACAGATGTGTTAAATGAGCTGGTCTGGTCTGGTTTAACCACAGAGAGCTGCTGGGTGTGCCCAAGACTCCTTGGGTTGGCTTTAGATAGGCAGGAATAACCAACACCACCTATTATTGTGGGTTTACCATCCAGTTCAGTTAGAGTCAGCAAAGAAGGAATAGCTAATTATAGCTCCAGGGACCTTGACCCCTTAGCTTTGTGGACAGCTTAGAGCCCTCCTTAGCAGTTGAACTTTAATCTTATGAGCTCGTGGCTCTTGACCCTTCACTGAAAGGCCAATGCTGGCTTGTTTTTGACCCAGCCACCACAGCCCTTGAAATGGGCATCCTTTAAAAACTATAACTCTCTGCCTACCAGGGTGTAACTGAGAATCCATTATGCCATTTGTATATGAGGCATTATGCCAATGCATCAGAGGAAGCTGATACATTGATAATCCTGTCTCAAAGGTGTCTGGGAAGGAGCCGGCTTCAGAGGGCTCTTACACCCCTTTCTTCCCGCCCATTGTCTCTTGGATTTACCAACTGGGCACTGAGCATCCAACACAGGGAGTTTTGGGGAGAAAATTTCATATAAGCTTTGATAAGTTTCAGCCCAAAGGATGTTCCTGGTTTTCTTTTTAATGTTCCTCTTCGGTCTGAGGTTTTAAACAGAGGCTGACCTTGAACTCGCTGTGGTCCTCCATGTACTGGTAGTAAATGTGCTACTTACTATGCCTGGCTCAAACAAAACATATTGATCATTTGTCTTCTGTCTATGCATAGCCATATGTACAAAGATAGAAATAACATCTTATGTTACACATCCATGGTAGAAAATAAAAGCAAAGCCACGGATAGACCAACTCTTGTTACACACCATGAGGACAGTGATCAGCTCTATCTCTACGTACCTGTTTTTTGTTTTGTTTTCAAGACAGGGTTTCTCTCTGTAGCCCTGGCTGAAGGGGTGAGGCAGGGAGGTGGGGGTGGCGATTCCTGAAAGTTTGCTATCTTTTGGCCTTGGTTTAGGCGTTTACACAGACCCCGCCCATTTCCATCCCTAAGCCCCTGGGCGGCCGGTTACTGCCCTAGCCGGCCCGGTAACTTTATAGCAACAAATCCTCAACCAATTAGAAGTAACTTAAATTCCACTGGGCGGGTAGGGATGGCAAGCAGGAGCCAGGGGCTCAAGGGAGCCGGTTTCACACGCTGGTGAGCCTTCCACGCCCCAGAGCGTACCCTTCCATCACTTTCCCAAGACCGCTGATCTCAGCGCAGCGGGCACGGGCGCCCAAGGCTGTGCGTTCTTGTCTCAGTGGAATCTCACACTAGCAGAGGGAGTGTCGCCTCTTCTTTCAAAAAACAGGACCCGCTGGGCTTTACCTGACCCAGGGTCACCCGTCCGCCTCCCTGCAGGCTAGAGCCACAGGAGGAAGGATTTTGAAAGCATTTCAAGGAGGGAGGAAAGTCTTCGCTAACTGTCACCCCAAGTGCAAAGTCAAGTTTTCCTTTTACCGCACAAAAGGTTTGATGCAGAAGTAAAAAGCAAACCTACCTAGCAGGTCTCCCCTGGTGTCCTCACTCCCTCCGTGTTCTCCCTCAACCTCAGCAGTCTTCTAAGGGACATTCCCAGTCAGGTAAACTCTCCAGGGTCACCTGTGTGAGTGCAACCAAGGTGCACCGAGGAGCAGTGGGCAGGGGCGGAGAAGTGAAACCGAGCCGAAGGTGCCTGGGACCAGACACACATCGCTCGCCGAGTCACGGGTCACCAACTTCAGGGCTGCTCTGCGCCAACCCGGGCTGATGAGGAACGCGAGTGTCCGAAGGAAGGCGCTCTGGAACTTTCACCTTCGGTCCTTCCCAGGTCCTAAGCTCCAAATTTGGCAGTACACAAGTTCCAAGGTGGGGATTGAGCGGTACGTGACCTGCTAGAGAGGGGTGGGGGATGGGGACGTGAAGGGGTGGTGGCGTAGTCTGGGCCCGGGAGAGGGGTTTCAGGAAAGAGGGTGGGGGCGGAACTGGAGAGGGGCTTGGAGGAGGAGCGATGGGAAGGAGTGGGGTCTGTGGGGGAAGGGGCCAGGGCTCTGGGACCGGGAGGGAAATGATGTGGGGGACGGGATTTGGGATTGCAGGGACGCAGGACGGAGCATGAATGAGGAGGAAAGGGGAAGAATGGGTGGACGTGGGGCTGAGGTTTAGCAGGGGAGCAAGAACTTAGTTGGGAAGGGATGGGAAAGAATAGGGGCGTGATAGAGGTGTTAGGGCACTGAGGAAGGGGCTTGAAAAAAGAAGGCGGGGCCGGGGCGGCCTAGGGGGCGTGGGAGTGGGCGTGGTGGCCGGGAACCCCACGTGGGACTCTGGGTTGAGTTCACACTGGCCGGGAGAGCCTTAGCGGGCTTCCTCTTTGGCACATCAGCGCGTCCCGACCTTGGGTCTGGGCCACTGGAGTCCGGGGTCTTTGAGAGCTCGGGGTCCGCTACCCCTGGCGCCCTGGGCCGGTGACCAAGGGGCGCAGGAGCCACCTCCTCCGCTACCATGCGGAAGCCGGACGGGAAGATCGTGCTGCTGGGGGACATGAACGTGGGCAAGACGTCTTTGCTTCAGCGCTACATGGAGCGCCGCTTCCCGGACACGGTCAGCACCGTGGGCGGCGCCTTCTACCTGAAGCAGTGGCGCTCCTTCAACATCTCCATTTGGGACACCGCAGGTGAGGGCGGCGCCGCCGGTATAGTCTGTCTTCGGGGTCCCGGGGGCGAGGAGTTGCCTCCAGGCAGGGTCTCCACTTCCGACTGTGGCGTTCACTGCTCCTCTGTCCCCACTTGTCCTGCTTTGCTGATTGGGAAAATCTCCAGTTCAGCCCACTCCGTGAGTCTTCGCGGAGATCCAGGTTATCCTGGAAGAGATCTCTGGTCCTCATTTTAGGTGTTTTAGTGTCCCCCTCAGGGTACTCTCCTTTGGTGTGCCAAGCAGCTTGGGGTGTCGAGCAGAGCTGCTATTATTGGTCCCCTTATAAACGAGAAAACTGAGGCAGAGAGTGTTGGATCGGCACCCCTGGATGTAAGGCAACTGGGAAGCCGAGCTCCAATCGCCCGGCCTCTGCGACTCAGGGTTATTTACCCACTGCTAGGTCTTGGCTGGTGCGCAAGTCATGTGTGTGGAATAGCTTCCTGTACTGGCATTTTTAAGATAGGTAGTCGATTATTTTTAGTGCGTGTACTATTTGTGATTTTTCCGGTAGGTCCATCTTCGTTTTGGACTATGGGTTAGTACTGGTTTGTTCCGTTTTTTCTTCCTTTTCCATGATAAAGAAATAAGATATTTTAAGTAAACAAACAAATGAACAAACAAACCCGGAAATGGTATGGTTTCGTGGAATGAGGTTTCTGAAATCTGAAACTCCAAGTTCTGATGTATTCAAAAGTCTTGCTCCTAATCTCTGACTTCTTGTTTTGGGCATATCAATCTGTCGGGGCTAGTAATGCACTCTCTGATGAAAACTGAGTTAGTGGTGGTCTCTGGCGCCTTCTCTGCTGTCCCCATATACCCCCCCCCACACAGGCAGCCACTCTTCCCTGTTTCTTCCTTAGCCCTTGTGGGGAATGCACTGGTTCCTAGTTTCCACGTCATTCCTCTGACTTCACTCCAGGTTGTAGGTGAAGCGTCTGATTTTTCTCAGGCTGCCCACTTGCCTGGCACTGAGCACCCATGAATACAATCCCAGAGAATCAAGACCAGTCAGTCCGTGGACTCCTTTCCCAGTCTTGGACAGAGTTCTGCTTCTTTGCTGGGTTTAACTGCTGCCCTTGGTGTATAGGGGAGAACAAAGAATTGGTCAGTTTTTTTTCCCCACATCTCTTGATGTTTCTGGATTAGACACAGACGCGTGGCCAAAGCACACATCCCCGAAGGGCATGAAGAAGCAGTTTCACTTTGACGGGCGGAACCACTTTCTTCATCAAGGCCAAGTGTGTGATGCATCCTGATCTTGGTCACCAGAGGATTTTGTAACACTGCTGATGTGATATCCTGAGACTTTGCTGGTTTCTCGCGTGGGGTTGGTAGCAACCCAGCAACTCAACTCATTTCCCTGCCTCCCTGGCTGCTTTTGTGTTCCTGGAACACCAAGTGTGAAGCCAAAGGAGCAAGGCGGGGTGGCCAGGCTGCTTCTCCACATTCCTGATGTCTGTGCACACACACTTGGGGAACTGAGGTACAGAGTCAACAGTGGCCCATGTCACCAATTTGGTGCCTACTTTGGTGGTGACTTCTGGGCTGCTAGTCACCTGAAGGGAGCAGAGAAGAGGGAGCAGTTACTGTCCAGGATTCTGTGCGCAGTAACTAGCGTCAAGTCCCTGCCCTATCCCCAGTTGACTTTTAGCATAATTTCCATAATTAAGACTGACCGAAACTTACTTGCTAGCTCTCCACCTCAGTGCTGCTTCAGGTGACAGGTAGGTGGGTGGCAGCACACACCTGTGAGGGCTTTGCGACCAGCTGTAGTCAGAAACACAGCAGCTGCCCAGAATTTGTGGTTTGACTCTTGACTGTTCACTCAAAGTCAAAGTCACTGTTTGGCACCTGGAACTTGTTGTTAAGTACTAGTGCTGGGTGTGACTGGGGATGGGAGGGGCTTGCTGGCTCATTAGGCATCTTATTCTCTTAGTGTGGAGTTTCAGAGGTATCCCAGTGGCAGGCATGTAGGGTCCAGACCTTGTCTATCTGGGTCCAGGCATCTCCCATCATTCCCTGGTTACTCATATACCTTTCCCAGATGGTCTGGTAGAGAAAGGGTGCTCACCTTTTGTAGTAGAGAGAGGGACGGTCACCCTTTGTGGTGTGGTCAGGCCAGGATGGGTGATCAGAGCTGCCAGCGGTGTGGTGGTGTTACCTGCATTAGCAAACAGATGCCAAGCATCCATGTGCTCAGTTCTGTTTCCAGCTCAGACCTAAGCACAGCAGTGGACTGAACAGACTAGAACAACCGTCATCTCGGGGTTATCCAGGTGTGCCTGGACTGTAGGCAGACTTTTCTTTTCTGCCCGCCAGTTCTCAAAGAATCAACACAGAGACTTGATATGAATTATAAATGCTCAGCTGATAGCTCAGGCTTATTACTAACTAGCTCTTAGAACTTAAATTAACCCATTTCTATTAATCTACATCCTGTTTCCTCTCCGTGTCCTGCTGGCGACTCCTCTGACTTTGACCTTCTCCTTCCCAGTGTCCTTAGTCTGGTTTTCCCGCCCAGCTTTATCCTGTCCAGCTATTGGCCAGTCAGCTTCTTTATTAAACCAATGAGAGCATAATTTACACGGTGTACAGAAGGATTATTCCCCAGTAATGGGCTTGTTGACTGCTTACATGCCCTCATAGTGGTGTGGGAGGGTCATGGGATATCCAGCTGCCCCTCCAGCTGCTCCCTGACACCTGTGTGTAAAAGTCTGCTTTAATTGCGGGTGAGCTCTGGATGGGCTAGAGGCAAGGGAGGAGCTGGGGCAGGGAGCCCTATCAACGAAGCTATGGGGAAGTCCTCATCTCCGCTGAGCAAAGACTTTCCCATACAATGCTTTTGGGGTGGAACACCCACACCTCTGGAGGTCATACTCACCTAAGCTCTGTAAGGAAGCCCAGGAACTTCACTGGTTCCCTGGAGTGAACGCTTGTGGAATCATGCCCTGATTTGTCCTTGGTACCTGAAGGAAGGAATTTTAGCAACAACAAGCAACTGGGTGGCTGGTCTTGGAGCTTCAGATTTCAGAAGAGGGGAAAAGCAAGGCGTGAGTTTCCTACCAATCTCAGATCTGTTTGGAAGGCAGTCCAGTAATATGAGAAAGTAGCCGAGGTGCCAGTACAGACCCCTGCAGGCTGGATACTCCTCATGTGTTTGTCCCAGCCCTTTCTGGCTGCAGCCTCAAAGTCGCCCCGCCTTCCACCACCAATGCCTGGCCCCTGGAGATGAGTTTGGGAAAGCAACTCAGAGCCCCAGCTCAGAACTGGGTCCTGCTCCTCCATCTGTGCTCAGCCCCTGTATCTTCTTCCTTGTCCTGGTGGTGTTGGTGCTGCTGCTGCTGCTGCTGCTGCTGCTGCTGCTGCTGGGATCTCGGGATAGAGCTTTTGCTTGTGGTATGGATCAAGGGGATGCAGATGGGTGGGGAGTGAGAGCCTGCCAGCCACAGCCTGCTCTCTTCAAAGAGCCCTCTCTCTGTTGCTGCTGGGTGCTCTGGCCTTTTAGTCCTTTGATATGCTAACAGAAGGTTGTCCTACACAGCCAGGGCACAGCAGACTTTCCTGACTGGGTGTTGAGTACTCCCTGTGGTCTGGGCCTCACCTGTCACTTTTACTTTCTGATGACAGTGCCGCCCTCTGTCTTTCTTTTCTCCGCATTAATGCAGGTGGCAGGGAGAACCAGGTTACACCTCCAGCAGAGCCAGGTCACACCTTCAGCATTTCCTTTTAAGGTCCTCAGCTTCATCACCTGAATACTTTACCCCCCAGTCACAGACACAGATCAGTGTCCTGAGACCATGTCCCTTCCCTCCACGTTCCTCTAACTCACTCCTTTCCAAGAGAGGTTCACCAGCAGAACCCCAGGCCTTGTCTTTCCACTGATCCCTGATAACACAACTCTGGATTTCCTAAGGTGATGGGGGCGGGGGCTCGCTTCCCTCTGCCTCCCCGCAAGTGAACTTGCCACAGCCTGTTTCCACAGCCATTCTCGGCAATCTAGGCCAGTTCTCCTTCATGGCCCGCCTGCTCCTGACCTCTGCCAGTGGCACTTCTGAGCCACTTCACACATGTCACGGTGGACATATGTCACACGGTAGCCCACCCCCATCACTGGCAATCTCTAGGTTTAGCGTTCATTTGGTTTGCTGCTCTAGCAAGCAGAAACTGAAAACAATGTGCATTATCTTCTCCTGGTCCGGAAGTCAGAGGTCCTCAGCTGGCTACAGTTCAAATGACAGCAGGGCTGTCGTCCTTATCGCTGGAATCCCATCTCTGCTGCTTCAGCTCAGGGAGTCTTCCTTGGCTTCTGGCTCCTTTGTCTTCTATTCTGGAAACAGCTGTGGCTGGTGGAGTCTCTCTCTCTCCCTGGAACCTGTGGCTGAAGGTCCTGTCCTCCTTGATCTCTCCTTGTTTTGAGGTTGGCTGAATAGGCGTCTTTGCTTCAGTCTCTACCTCTTCTGTCTTAGTAAAACTTTTTAGGTGGACAGCAGACAGGGAAAGAGGCCCACCACTCCCATTGGATTCAGCACCCCTGGAGTAGCCTTCTGGTTGTATTTTACTTTTCGTTACAGTGTAACTTCTGGCAAATGCTGTCAAAGCTACTTTGGAATCTCCCAGCTGGCAGGCAGTGTGGACACTTTTTGTGCCTGGGTAAAGACTCTTTCGAAAGACAATGTGATTTCCTCAGCGCCTGAAGCTTTTGTAATTTGAAAGTCCCGTAACTGCTGGGCAGGGCGTCCTGACTCACGGACTCGGAGAACTTTGCAACTAGTCTTTGTTAACAGCTTTTCTCTCTCTTCCAGTAAATATGTACAGGAATGGAATCCACGGATTTCAGAAAACGGGGAGTTTGGTGTGTTTGCCTTTTCCTTTAGTTTTGAAAATTAGAGGTGTATTTACCACACTCATTTTGTGGAATGCTCAGAGACTGCTAGAATTTTAAAAAGACATTAATATGCTCGTTGCTCGTGTACGTGTGTATAGACAGGCACATGCATGTCATAGCGTGCATATGCAGGTCAGGGGACAATTTTATGGAGTTGTTTCTCTGCTTCCGCCGTGGCCTCTGGAGATGGAACGGAGATCATCAGCCTTGCACACCGGCTGAGTCATCTTGCCAGCCCCAGATTATTAGAATTTTATTGAAGCTTCTGAGCCTGGAAACTTTCCAAGTGGGGCATTTTCTTGAAAAGCTACTGGCCTAAGTGGAGTTAAATTAGCAAACATGAAATACAGTTCCTCAGGGTGTGTTTATGTAATGCTCAGAGAGCCCAGGCATGGTGTTCCTTAATTACAGTTCTACTGGTTGTCTAGAAGAAACATTGTGTCACAAAGCATGAACACTGTCACCCAACTTGCCTAGCTAAGGCGCCATTTTTTATGTTGCGGCTCAGTTTTCTTCTTTAGATAAAATTATTTTTTGTTGGCCAGGTGGTGATGGTGCATGCTTTTAATCCCAGCACTCGGGAGGCAGAGGCAAGTGGATCTCTGTGAGTTTGAGGCCAGCCTGGTCTACAGAGCGAGTTCCAGGACAGGCTCCAAAGCTACAGAGAAACCCTGTCTCAAACAACAACAACAACAACAACAACAATAAGAACAACAACAACAAAAAAAGAAAATTATTTTATGTGCGTGAATATTTTGTCTGCGTGTCGTCTAGGTACCGTATGTATGCTGTGCCCACAGAGGTCATAAGAAGGCGTTGGAGCCTCTGGGACTGGAGTTACAGACCATTGTGAGCCACCACATGGGAGTGGGGACTGAACTCAGGACCTCTGGAAGAGCAGCCAGTGCTTTTACCTTCTAGCTGTCTCTCCAGCTCCTTCCTCATTTAGCTTTAAGCTTTAGTCCCAGCCGTGTCCGTAGGCATGAAGATCCTCTTCCTCAATAGCTTCCACTGGTGACTCCCGGAGGAAGCTTGCCTAGATAGGGAGTGAGGATCCTTGAATGAATGAATGGACGACAGTGATGATGGGGGGGCACTTGAGCTGCTGTCAGCTTGTGGGATAATTTACCTTCCCCGCTACAGTCTTGCCAGGCAGATATGCGTCATACCAATCTCAGGGGGAGGCCTCATTGTGCCCTATCGGCCTCGTTTTTTGCCTTTCAAGGACCCTGGTAAGCCGCAGCAAGACTCTCTCCACAGGGAGTTTACACAGTGAGGAAGTGGCTGAGCTGGAATCAGAGCCCGGTGAACTGCTCCTGGGTTTGACTGAATCACCAGCCCCTGCTGTGCCCTTCCCAGGGTGCCGTCATACTCAGGAGAGAGTGGAGGGAAGAGCTCTCAATGTTTGTGTGCATGACCCCTGTGTGTTAGTGCACACCACCGCATAGTGTGTGCTAGTGCAAATCACCGTGTAGTGTGTACTGAGCATGCAATCTCAGCCAACTGCAAGGGCGTAACAGTATACTGGGGTGCCAAAGTTAAAACCGTCCCACCTTAAGGCTGCCTATCACACAACTAACTGGAGGAATTGTTAAGAAAAAAGAAATCCTAAGAAGAACAGCTCCTCTGGCACAAAGAAATCCAATTACATCAGATCAAACCAAATCAAAATGCCCATCATTTTATTAAGCACAGTGCTCTCGGGTGGCCAAGTGTATGGCGGGGAGACAGGAAAGCAGGGAGCCCATGCAACCCGGAATCCTCTGGGAGCCCATTTAAATACCCTGTGGGAGTAATCCTGACCCCAGGGAGGGGTCAGGACCTGGCATGCTGGGATTTGGAGTCCAGACCAATATACTCCCAGTCCAGAGGGCTGGGATGGATGCCAGGGGCTGGGGCTCTGCTCCAGACTTAACAGGAATGTATTAAAATACCTCAGCGCTCTTCCCTCTAATCACGTATTCTTCCCAGCTGAGAAACATTTTTGAGTGTCTGAAGTCTCCAGTCCCATGCTGGACATGGCCATGGGGCAGGGTGTCCTCTTATGTTGTATGTTTGTCCCGATTCTGGATGAAGACCATGTCCTACACGGAGATCAGTCCTGTGGTCAACTCCTGGTGCATGGAGTCCTGGAGACAGATGCACACTTAGTCCTGTGTCAAAGTTCAGGATGTGCTGCTTGCGAATGGCTGGCTCGGCCAGGCTCAGCCAGGCTCAGCCAGGAGTGAGGCATGATGTCCCATCTACGTCACAGCACACACTCCCAAGCCTGTCCCAAGGACAGAAGAGCAGTCAGGAGTGTCACAAAGCCTAGGGGCAGGCCATGGTGTGCTTCGATAAAACAGCAGCTGAAGGAGCTTTGTACTGCCTAGGAGGCCACCGGCTCACAGCTCTCCTGGAATGTCTGTTTCACTGGGTTTGCCCAGGCAGGAGCTGCCTGTCACTCTCGGCTGCACATTGGGGACTGTCTTGGCCTCATTGTCCAGCGGGAACATACGCAACTATAAAAGCTAGAAGCTTTTCTCTAAGAAGGGCTCTATTCGAGACTCTGCTAGGACTGCTGGTCAGAGCAATAAGGCAAGGGAGTTAAAAAAAACAAAACAAAACAAACAAACAAACAAAAAATCCTTCACACTGGAAAGGAAGCGGTGAAATGGTGCTGAGCCTGCAGACAACAGGCTTTTGCGTACCGAGAAAAATGTAATGGCTACACAAACCTGTCAAGAGGACAAACACACACAGTAAAGTTCCAGAACACCAAATGGAATGAAATGAGGGTATGGCCTCCTGGGGGTTTTTATTGTAGGTGTGAGGGAGAGTACATCTGGAGAGTCCAGAGCAGGGAGATGAAGTAGCAGGAAGTTGTAGGCTGACACAGAGAGCAGAGTAAGCTAGGGCACGAGAGGAGTGGGGTCAGACAGAAAAAAGGACAGAGAGAGAGAGAGAGAGAGAGAGAGAGAGAGAGAACCAAGAACCGAGGGCACAGAAAGCGTGAGGCCAAAATGGCAGGATTACATAGGAACAGGAAACTGAAGGAAGGGAAGCGAAGCCCACAGCCTGGAGTTAGGGGTTTAGGGCAGGGGTGGGGGGAGAAGAACTGAGAGGAGCCACAGGTGCTGAGTGTCTTTGGAGGCCAGCATCTGCTTTGGCATCCTAATAGGCACTGTGGTTAGCCCTTTGTCCCTGTTTCTTTTGGCCCTGACACAAACCCACTTATAAAAGTCGGTGGTGTTTCTATATGCCAACAATGAACTATCTGAAAAATAAGTTGATGAGCAGTTGTTTTAGAATAGCATTAAAAATAAATCAGATACTGGAAATAGATTTAATCAAGGTGGTGAAAGAGCTGTGTGGTAGTTTGAATGTAATTGGCCCCCATAATCTCTTAGAGAGTGGCACTATTAGGAGGTGTGGCCTTGTTAGAATGGGTTTGGCCTTGTTGGAGGAAGGGTGTCACCGTGGGGGCAGGCTTTGTGGTTTCCTATGCTCAGGATACCGTCCAGTGTTTCTGTTGACTTCCTGTTTCCTGCAAGATGTAGTATTCTCAGCGGCTTATCCAGCATCATGTCTGCCTGCACGCTGCCATGTTCCCCACTATGATGATAATGGATTGAACCTCTGAAACTGTAAGTGAGCCACCCCAATTAAATGTTTTCTTTATAAGAGTTGCTGTGGTCATAGTGTCTCTTCACAGCAATAAAAACTTTAAGACAAGCCGTGACATAAAACTAAAGTATTTATGACAAGACCTGAAGAAAGAAATACTCAGAAGGAACTCACATGTCCGTGCATTGTGAAACTATTGTTAAATGTCTATGCCAAAAATGATCTACAGATTCAGTTCTAATGCTGTTTTTTTTTTTTTTTTTCACAAAAGTAGAACAAAAGTTCACACACACACCCCTCAGTTTCTGTGGAACTCCGGAGATCCAGAATAACCAGAGCAGTCAGACCAAGAAGAGCCCTGGGGGCTTCACACTACTTCACCTGAAAATATACCACAAATCGGAATGAACAAGTCTAACAACAGGTGCCTCGATTGACGGGTGTGACAGGAGCCCAGAATCAACTCACGCATTGGCGGTCAGTTGATTTTTAACAAAGGGCCAGTACACAATGGGGAAAGGGCAAACCCCATGCCCCTGTGCCGGAATAGGAAACCGGACACTTCTTATTCCATCTCCGAAAACCCACAGATGTGGGACCAGGAACTGAGGTGAAGACATAAGGACTGAGGTGAAGACATAAGGGAAGCTACTCCATACAGTTCTAGGGACTTGCTTTTTTCCTTTTTTTTTTTTTTCCCTTGTGGTCCTCAAGCAAAAACCAGCAGGAGCTGCAGAGATGGCTCTGTGGGCAAGGACCCTTGGTTCACAAGTATGGGGAGCTGAGTTTGGATACCTAGTACCCACATAAAAAGCCTGGCATGCCTGTGTGCTTGCCTGTCACCCCAGTGCTGGGGGTAAAGTGGAGGTGGAGGTGAAGACAGGAAGATGGACCAGTGCATTGCCAGCTTGACTGAAAACCAGCAAACTCCAGGTTCCGTGAGAGGCCCTGTTTCAAAGGACTAAGGTAGAGACGACCCGAGGAAGGTGTCTGAGATTGTTCTCTTACAGACACACATGCAAGGGTGCACCAACTGCACAGCACTGCACACAAATAAACAAGAAAGTGAGATCACAGCTGTCTGAAAAGCACAAG